CTCCAAATCTGTTAAAATTTCTCTAAAGAAAAGGGTTTGATCTACATGATCACTTCAATGTGTATTTTAGAAAGGCTCCCATTTTTAAAAAAAATACACATACACCTGTACTAAAAGCTTGGTTGCTTTCACTTCTCTTTGTTGGTTTTGATTCTGACACGGGTGAAGCCAAGAGGAAGCAAAGAGAGAAGAGGTGAAAGGACAGTCAGGTAGAAAGACATAGAGAGTTCCTTAATCTTTAATAGTTCTGTAGAATAAAGCATTTTTGTGGGGGTAGTTATGCTTTTTACCACTCCATACATGTGCCCCCTCAAGGGGGGAAATAGTGAAGGACGTGCCATGGAAAACATTTCTGACTTTCAGCAGTTTTCCTACTCAGAACTGATTAAGCGACCCCTCTTTCTTGTGATGCTGTGGGACTCAGGAGCTTAAGTTTATTTTAAACTATTTGACTTGCAGATCTTGACCTGCAGTTTTCAGGGTTGCAGGCCAGAGCACTCTTACCTCTGATTTTGTAATAAGTACTGAGGAGGACAGCCCTTTTGCTAAAACTACTCTTAATTTCAGTTCTTCTTCCTGGTGGTTACTGGACAGCACCCAGCTGTCTTTGACCCAAAATTATACCATATTTTTAGCATACCTAAGAGAAAACCTTTGCTGAGGCAGTAATCGAAAGCCCTTGAGTTTCTTCAGCTCAGCTGCCTGGAAGTCTTTTGCAGGTGATGGCTTTGCTGAAATATCTGAATGTACTAATTCTAAACCAGCTTGTATTCCATGGCTCTTTTCACCCAGTCTGGGAGATATTTTGAATTTACAGCTGTTAGGGGTGGTGTTAGGAGTCAATTAAAAATAATTATTTGTTGTCACATACCTTGGAAATATTCCTTTTTTTTAATACACCCCCATAGTTCCTTGGGTACAAAATGAAGTAAGAGATCATTCGAATGTCCAGGAAACTTCTAGTAAGATCAGTGCAAAACATGGTCCTTAAGGGAGAACGATGCTGTATCTGAGGCACTCCCCAAAAGGCGGGGAATGAGTCGTCCTTTTGTCTCTGGGTGTATGTGCTAGGGATCAGGCAATACAGATCCAATACAGATTTAAAGGGATTAAAAAATCTGTAGCATGGAACCAGAGCCCTCTGATCCCCAAGACACTGGCAATGTTGTAATGTACATCCAGAACAAAACAACCCCGTTTATACTGGCCCAGTTCAACACACCCAGAGATCCACATTAGATTTTTTTTAAAAAGTTGGGTAACGTCTTTATTGCTTCAGTGACAAATACAAAAGAAGAGGAAAGGCTGGGAAAAGCAAGATTTCATGTCTTTCAGAGCTCTTAATCAAGGCAGGCATTACACCATTTGGGGTGAAGAAGTTCAAAATCCACCCTTGTCAAATGTTACATCCATGGCGGCTCTGGTTTCTCAGGGTTTCAGAATGAAGCCTGTAAGGTAGCCGAGCTGCCCTGAGGTGTGGTGTGATCAGGATGCAGTGGAGCTCAAGGAAGCCAACTGCCACCATGTGGGTATGGAGAAGCACCAAGGAACATGGCAGTCACCGTCATTGGTTAAGCTGGAGATTAAATTTAGGTAGCACACTAGGCAAAAGCAGGCCAAAAATTAAACCGCATGACGGTTTTGCCAAATGCTTCCAAAGTGGGCAGGTAAAATCACAAGCTCTTCTTTCTGTCTCAAGTATGTTTAATGCTCAGCTTGGTGGAGATTTCTGAAGCCTTTCCTTTGCTTTTCTCTCCTGTCCTGATACTGGCAGGCCAATAAAGGTACAGTATTTCCAAACTCTGTGGTTTGATTTTACTTAGGGACTGCCGAGCTAAGATTTAAAAAAAATATCCTAATAAGGCAATGCAAAGTTATTCTGGGATTTCATAATTAAATGAATGCATCAGATAAGGGCTGGCTATCCTGGTGGGTGGCAAGAAGTAACCTGTGGCTAACTTATTGCTCTAACTAAAGTATTTCATAACTTCCACTGACAACGCCGGGAATGTGACAAATCAATCAACATTTTGCACCAAACACTTCAATCAGCCACGGTTGGAATGAAAGTGAAAATCACAACCGACTTCCTTGTTGAAGGGGAGGCTCATGTGACAGAGTGAAAAATTGAAAGTCATCGTTTTGCCATCAGGATGAGGCAGTGTTGAAGAGTTCCAGGACCCTGCACGCCGGGAAGGGTTTCCTGCACCTTCAAAAGAGTCAGATATTGGACTACTGCCTGCAAGAATTGTCAACTGAACAAGGTAAGAACAGACACCATCTCTTCTCTGTCTTGAAAGACAACAAGGAAGTACCCTTTTTCTTGTTTCATAAAGAAAAGTAACATATATTTTCTTGTAGAAAAGTATATCTCAAAATAATGTTAGTGCTCAGTTAGAATTTTCAATTCTGAGGGGTTTAATTGCATATTTTTGAGTCATTTCACATCATCTCAAAGAAACCTGATTTTGCTGGCAAGCAGTTACCCAACAGGAAATCCCAGGAAATCCCAGCTAATTTCCAGCATAACCGTATGGTGCGCATGTTTCCTTTCCAAACTGTGCATAAGAATTCACATTTTAGATGCATACTTAAAAAAACTTCAGCCTAACCTATTGTAAACAGTGTCTTAACAACAGAAAGGAAATCTTTGAGAGAGGAAGCACCTCATATGTTACATTTTTAAGGAGACATAAGGTTTTGCCTTGCTGCATTTCAGAGTCTGCAATTACTCTTCATTGATGGGTAGAGTCTTGAAGCACGGCAGGGCAAGTTTGGCCTTCCAGCATTTCTTGCTATGGGTTATGCTAGCGAGGGGCTTATGGAAGCTGCATTCCACCAAAAACTGGACAATTGCGCTTCTCCCTCTCTTAAAACACAGTTCAGTGTAGTAGTCAGGGGCATGATTAGAACATGAAGTGTCATTGTTAGACCACAGTAACATACCTTGTGTATTTCAATATTTGTATCAGCAGGATGGAACTGTGGGCTTGGTATTTCCTGGGATGCATCACTGCAGCATCTGGACACTGGCAGAAGGACTCCACGCTAGACAGGCACTGGGAGATTTGGAAGGAAAAATATGGCAAGGAATACCAAAAAGAGGTACAAGCACTGTGCTCTGTTACATTGCCTACTGTTATAGCTACTTTAAGAGGGCTTTCAAGTTAAGGGAACTAATTAAAGAGTAGTTTTACCACGTTGACTCCTCGTGGCTGTGAGTATTCATGACCAAGCAGAGGTTCAAACTGAGGTCTCCTGAGCCCTCATTCATCACTAGCCACTAGAATCATATAATTGATTGATAGAGTTAGAAAGGGCCTCTAAGGCCACGAGTCCAACCTCCTATTCAATGCAGGAATCCAAATCAAAGCAGATCTGACAAAGATGGCTGTTTAGCTTTATCTTGAATGCCTGCAGCTCTGGAGTGCTGACCACCTGCCGAGGTAATTAGTTCCATTGTCATACTGCTGTAACCATTTTTCCTGATATTCAGCTGAAATCTGGCTTTCTGTAGTTTGAGCCCATTTTTACCTGTCCTGTACTCTGGGATAATGGAGAACTACACTGGGTGTCTAGTTTGGAGTGTAGAAATATTGTCACCTGTAAGGTCCATCATTATTCCAACAGGATTTTGGTCAGCATGTTATTAAACAGTGGAAATGCACATATAAAAACAACATTTCCTCCCATCACCAGTGTATTCTGGGTTTTGCAATCTCAACTTCTGCTTTGATTTTCAGGAAGAAGAAGGACGCCGTCGCATGATTTGGGAAAAGAATCTACAGTTCATCATGTTGCACAACCTTGAACAGTCATTGGGTCTGCACTCTTATGAGCTTGGCATGAATCATTTGGGAGATATGGTTAGTTAATACAAATATTTTCTGTCTGTGGCAAATGACTGTAGATAATGTTGCCATGAATAAATATGCTGATGACTGAGATGATAGACAGGAATGAAGGAACTGTTTATATACACAATATATATATAATACATACACACACACACACACACACATTTTGCAGTCTGTTTGGGAAGAAAGGTCACAACCGTAAAATATTTTTCAACCTGCTTGAAAGTTTATGTTATTTACAAAGCTTCCTGAAACTAAGCAGCATCCCAATCCACTGCTGCACACAGTCCAGGAGGCTAAAAAGATGATATACTACTGTAATTGTGTCCATCTTCTTCATGTAGACCAGCGAGGAAGTAACTGCTTTGTTGACTGGACTGCGAATTCCTACCTCACAGAAACAAAATTCAACATTTTACAGGCCAAGTCTAGGGGTGGAAGTCCCTGATACTGTAGACTGGAGGGAGAAAGGATGTGTTACAGATGTTAAGAACCAGGTAAGAGGTGGAGAAAAAAGGATATTCTTTTTTGATATTCTTTTTTAAGAGACCATATGTTGTTACTGAATCTGACCTTCATATTTCAGGGGTCATGTGGTGCTTGCTGGGCCTTCAGTGCTGTTGGTGCCTTGGAAGGCCAGTTAAAACTCAAAACAGGAAAACTGGTGTCTCTCAGTCCACAGAACCTGGTCGACTGCTCCTCCATGTATGGAAACCGCGGATGTAATGGAGGTTACATGACTGCTGCCTTTCAATATATCATAGATAATAAAGGCATTGATTCAGATGCTTCCTACCCATACAAAGCTCAGGTGTGTATCATGTACAGTACTTTCAGCTTTGCATAAAACATTGCAGATAAAAATGTTTGTATTCTTCATGATTACTCACTATGGAGCAGAATTGACTAATGTTTTTTGGTTGCAATTTTGTACATGTTTTACTAGCAGTTAGACCTGTGGACACTAAAAGAATTGCTGTAGAAAAATGGTGGCTAACATCAAAATCATCTGTTATCACCTGATAGTATTAGGAATACCAGCAGCAGTTTCCTAAAAGTACAACTATGATATTAAATAAGGTAAAGAGGGAAGACACAGCTTGCTTTTTTTAAATTGGTTTCTTTTAACCAAGGGAGCTTATTTCTAGGAAAACAGCATACTGTATGTATAATACCAATGTAATTATACAAAGGCTTTTTCCAGGTGGGTGAATGTCAATACAAAGCTGCTGAACGGGCTGCGACTTGCTCTAGATATATTAGGATTCCGGCCGGAGATGAAGTTTCCTTGATGAATGCTGTAGCCAATGTTGGTCCCATATCAGTTGCCATAGATGCAAGCCAACCATCATTCTTTCTTTTTAAGAAAGGTGGGTTCTTTCAGATAATGTATATGCCCCAAAAAAGAGCAGAAAGTATTTTGGCATATTGTATGCTGTTCAATCATCTCTTGTCCTAAGTCCTAGTATTATTTGGGAAGTTTTGCACAATAACCATCTCCTGAAAGCCATGTGTAACAGGTTTCTGAGCTGAAGGAGCAATTTTCTATTATATGAATGAAGATGGAATTGACATGATTATCCCTTAGTACGTCATACATTAAACTTCTTACAGAGCCATTATTTTCAGTTCCAAAAACAGTGTCTACCTTGTCTAGATCTAGCTCTCTCTCTCTCTCTCTTAACAAAACTAATTTACAAACTTGCATTTGATTCATTCATGTGCCACGTATTTATACAAACCTGGAAGGTCATTCTAATAACCCATTTTTCATTTAGGGGTGTATGATGATCCAAAGTGTTCTTCTGAACATATAAATCATGGAGTCATTGTAGTTGGATATGGGAAAGAGAATGGGATAGACTACTGGCTTGTGAAGAACAGGTAAGACTTTGTTCAATCTGCCAAGCCAAGATATACATCAATGTCCACTATATCAATACTGAGACACTTTGGTTTTATGCCTCTGCTTGGAAATGGACATACGGAGGGGATAGCACCCCATGACCTGGGATAATTAATAGGACTTCTATTAGGGAAGTTTTAATTAGCGTCTCTTGATTTGGGATGTATCAAAAATAGTAATCTTGTCTCTTCAAGTTACATCTAAATTGTCCAGAATCAGTATGTTCTTTACATGTTGTAACATAACATTTCTGGTTGCACCAATGCTGTGACTCAGTACAGTGCATGGCATCATCCTGTATCCCTACATTCCTAATGCTGTGTGCACCTACTAATGCTACATATTTATGGAACTCTATATTTATTTGTTTCTATGTTTCTATTTTTTTTTTTTATCCTTTTCTCAACCAGGATTGATTCCCAAAGTAGTTTCCAGCAATTAAAAGTTGTTACAAAAAGATATTATTGCTGCCTTTGTATACAATCTGTTTTGGCCCTTGGCAAATTTGTGACCGTTAACATAACTTCTTTCGTGGAATTTCCAAACCCTCACATGGTCATTTATCCAAAATATTAAAATATGTAAAAATTACGGTTTTCTTCCATTAAGCTAAAATTATTGTGTTAAAGCCAGCATAATAATCACAGCATCTTTTAGTTCCAAAGGTGACTCTAGAGAAGTGGCTCCTACAGGTATTAAATTGTACCATCCATATAAGAAATTGCAAAAAATGCTAGTTTTTAACCCATACTGGTTGAAATTCCATGCACATATTCTGTGTTTTTCCTCCTTAATGTAGTGCTTGTGGAAAGAAAAGACAAAACAAGAGGTAGGAAACATAGGAGAGCTGGAAGTGGAAGAAGTGGACCTCAGGAACATTTGTTAAAATGAAACCAGGCAGTTGCATAATAAAAACTGGTCTAGAAATACCCTTAGTTCATTGTTGAACCCATCTAGAGTGCTGCAGAGGGAATGTCCTCTTCATAATGCATATACAGTACTGATTATCATCCTAATTATTTTCTTCATTATCTCCACAGTTGGGGTATATATTTTGGTGACCAAGGCTACATTAAGATTGCAAGGAACCACGGCAATCGTTGTGGCATTGCCAACCAATGCTCTTATCCACAAATTTAGAGTGAATTTCCCTGTTTGAAATGGATTTTTCTCTTCGTTGAAGAAATAGCCCATTAAGGCAACTAATCTTAGGCTTTTCCACCCCAAAATCAAACTGCTCTGTTTAAGAAGAATGATTAGTCTCTGAGGGCAGGATCTTCCTGTCAGCTCCGCCAGGTAGATCTGAGGAAAAGCAGCCAAAATGATGGTTTATCCTGCTTTAGCTTGGTCTTTGCTCACCCTCCCAGGGGTGCTGTGAGGCTTAATCAGTTAATAATGTAATGTCTGTAAATTCTGCTCTGAACAACTGAAGCTTTATGTAATTGCGGAGTATTATCATTGCTGCCACCTCGAAGCCTCTTAGAAGAAAAGGGGGGAAAGTCAACAGAAAATTGTCTTCCTGAAGTTTACAGTTATGGAACTGTGAAATAAACTCATTTATACAAGGTGGTGATTGTATGTGTGTGTTTTTTTTTAAATAACAACAACAATAATAAAGAAAACAGCAATATGATGAATTTGCACATATTGGAAGGAATGTTTTCCAAGGATATTATGTGTGAGGCCTCAGCTGGCCAGCTTTCTGGAAAGCCAGAAAAGATTTACCAGGCAGATTTCTGCCTGCTAGGCCATTATAAAAAGGCACAGAACGGTTGGAGAGGAAAAAGGGAATGGCTAAAAAGGCAGACATGGGAGTTCTTTTAGACTACAACTCCCAGCATTCTCTGAGAATTTGCAGGTAAACTTGACTCTTGCACACAGCACCCACAATTAGCATTTCTCTGCACATAGAGTGAGTGTCAAAGGACAAGGTGTTTTTACACTTTCATCCTACTGAGTTGACAGTGTTAATCTGTTTGTCCACCTCATGGGTCTGAAGAAGTGGGCCAAGAAGGTCCACAAAAGCTTACATTAAAATATAACAGTCTTCAAGATGCCACAACACTTTGGTCTTTTTAAAATTTATTATTATTATTATT